TAAGACTAAGAAAAATATTTCGCTTTTTCCGTCATATTAAAAAAACAATGTGTATCAGAAACAACTCCTGCACTGTCTACCTCAGGGCAAGGTTTATCTCAGGTACACAAAAGTATATACCCTGCAAAATGGTTAATAAACATACTACTGCTACTACTACTAATAGTAATAATAGTGTTATAAGTAAAAATAACAACAAAGAAAAGTTAAACAAACCACAAAACATATGCCACTCACCTTTGCAAATGAATGATAAGAAAAGCAAGTTAACTCTGACTTGGCTTGGTACAGGGGTGTCCTGCTGTCATCTTGATCAGGATTCTCAGCAGCATTTACAAAATCTTGGTCACCAGAGGCTCACATAAGCAATGCAAGAAATACTTGACTGTCCCACACTTGAGGTGGATGTCCAATTTCGACAAGCTGAAACTCCTTTACCTGGTAGAAATTGTTTCCCGTATGCCTACCATTCTATAACGTTATTTTCTGCTTCTGTTACAAGATTACTAGCAACGTAATTTATTCATAAGTACCTAAGACAAGTAAATATTTGTAACAATCTTTACACCTTTCTGCAGCCAAATGGAGCATATGCAGTGCAATATGCCTCTTCAAATATTTATGTTTCTAATGTTACATTTGTAGATTTTTAAAAATAGCACTGAATTTAAATTTAAGAGAAAGACACAAGAAAATAGCACAGAAATACATTTGTAAGTTCTTTTGTGATTTTCAGAGTAAACAGAAATTATTTCCTCAAAGAGCATTAGCCAATTAATCTTTCTAATGGAGAAGTGTCGTGTTTTCTTTGAGGTAAAATCTGAATTTTTAAATATTTAGGCAAGATTCAGTTTCAAGGGTTACCACATACTCTTTTGAAAACCATGCGAAACTTCAATATGCTGCAATAAATGTTTAGAGATGAATTTGGGAAGTGTGCTTGAAAGGTCAGGATAAAAATTGAACATAATTTTTAACAATTAAAATTGTATTTATTTTAGAACTTTATAAATATGTAAAATGTGAGAGACAAAAATTTGCTAACAGTGTAAAACGCCAAGAGTGATTGTCATCTAAGTATGAGTAAAAACTGTCTTTGTGCAAAGAGAGAAAGATGTGAGGAGAAAAACCACTGCAAGAATAATTTCAACTGCATCCTAAAATATATGTACATCAGAAAAACACATACAAATACCGCAGTTAATGCACGTTTAAATGAAAGTGTGCCTTAACACGGTAATCCAAAACAATTGTGCAGAATCTCACTTATCAAATGGCTCACTTTGGCTTATAATAACAGTAACAATTGTAAACTTCCATGTCATACTGTAAATTTCATAAAGATTCGCGATTCTAGAAGAAAGAGCTGAGTGAACATCGACACTCAAAATAAATATTATTATTAATATTTTTTACTGGTCCCAGGAAAAATATGAGACTAACATTCTGTGCATTTTTACAATGCATTTCTTTTAAAAATCTCACCACGAATACTTTAATTTTGTATTACTGTATTCCATTGCTCCATGTCATTCAATGATCCTAACCTATACTATCATGACCTCACGCACCAATCCTTCTATTTATTTGAGTGATCTTACATTGTTTGCTACACTTCTAGACGAAAGGAGTTCCTTCAGTTTATAGCAAGAATAATAATGAAAAATGGATCTGTGAAGTTGAATTATAGTAAAAGTTTCAAATGGTATACAGAATGTGACTGGCCAATGTAGTCAATTACACCAAGGCCTTCTGAAATAATTACATGGTTCTTGCAATGAGACCAGAGATCATGGACATCCACTTTAATTAACTGTTACTCTGAATTAGTTATTTATTAATTTGAAAAGCAAAAATGAAGAATGGACATAAATCTGTTTCACATCACACTTCTTTTTTTTAGCATAGTTTTTAAATGCGTTATACTCTGAATATCTAGAGCAGTGTGTCACTGCACCACATCCAGCCTGAGACCGCTTGTAACCAGACCCACAAAATTATTTATTAGTTTGTTACTAGTTACTTCAAGCTCATTTGTTTTAATTATTCTGAAAGATTTTAAAAATCAATGCGATTCTTTTCCTTTCTGCTGCTTTACATACTGGTGCTACACATGCTGTTGACTTTAAAATGAAAATTTTCCAAGTAAGAATTGTGTCAGATACAAACTGTTGCATTAGCAAATTTAAAATAACATGCAACTCCACAGTAATTTGTGCACAATTCAAGAGAATAATATTTGAGCATGTACTATGGTAATTTACCATTTCTGAATAAGTATTGTTAAAGATAATGAAAAGTGGATATTACTTTTCAAAAACAGTGCCAGGATGGGTTTCCTGGCCCTTGGGTCCAACAGGAAAACTATTCTAGGCCAAACGGAAGAAAAAAGTTGAACTATCTAATTTGGAGAAATAAGTTCTGGATTGTTTCTGTGTGTGCTGGTTGCTAGCTCATGGAAAATTTAAAATCAGACCAACAGGTTAGGGATGAACACATAATAATATTCACTAGAACTCTGAGCCTTCCTGTATTACAGAGCTGCGTGTACTAACATAACTCCTTCCTTATTTTTGATAACTGCGTGAACACCTGACGGAACCTGGAAAATTGCACTTTGTAACCTTTTAGACTTGGTTATTTCACCCAGTGTCAATTTAACCTTTCCAGAAGCAGCAGAAGCAAGTCCTTACACTATTAGGAGCCATCTGTAGAAATTACACAGCCTCCTGCACAATGGATACTGCAAGTTCTTTCTGTGAAATACAGGCAGCCTAAGTGCGCTGACTACCCAATTCAATTCAGTGCTTCATGGTTTAGTAATAAGCATAGGACTAGCCGCTTGCTTTTTAGCCTTCATGAAAGCTTGGCACAACACATTTAATTGATTTTAACCTCGGTCATATAGCAAAAGACAATTCGAAGCACGATGATGGTTGGACATTATCTCTGTGTTTATAAGGTCAGAAATATGCTAGTGTGACACGTGTACAATTGGATTAGTGTAAGACATGACAGAAAGATAATAAAGGCTAAAGTAACAAATACTTTAGACTAAAGTTTTAAAGAGTATGTTTTCGAGCTCAACTCTCATGAGCTCTGTCATAAATTAAATAATGATTTGTACAAATTCTTTTTTAAGAAAATATGAATCCATATTGGAGTTACAGACTACTTTTCATCTGTCATCTTAATTAGAAGTTTATGTTGTCTCATGTACCAGATTCCCATGCCACAAATTGTATACGAAGGCCTTGTCATATAATATAATATAATACAGATAGCCCACAATGTTGGATGATATAATTACTGCAACCCTTGAAGACCACAGAAAATTCTTTACACATTGACACTAAAATTGCAAGAGAGCTGAAAGAAGCTGTAGACAGGTCCTCTACTGGCTTAATAAGAGTGAGGTGCCAAGTAGGAACTGTATGTCACTCAGAACATGAAACCTGAAAGGTGGGATAGCT